AAAACTGGAGGAACATCAAACCGACGCAAGGAAACAGACTTAGAAATTAGAGAAATTGTATCTCATTTAAAAGGCACCCTTGGTGCTAGATGAAAGAAAGTCTCTCAACATGCTAATTTCTGAGAGATATTTTTCTGTAACAGCCATCTATCACCTAGCTTGCTGGCCACACAGTGTTTCTTTTCAGTTGGTAATTACACTATGTACATAGAAATGAGGCGGTACAAGCACCAAGTGGGTTTTTCAGTGAAAACTGTAGGAACTTCAAACAGGCTATAGGAAACAGAATGGGAACCCAGGGTAAGTGTTTCTACTGCTATCCATACCATTAGTGTCTGAATAAAGAACCTCTCTCCACATGTTCATTTCTGAGAGGTAACTTTGTGTGAAAGTCACCCTTCATTAAGCAACTTTGAAATACAAATATTTTTCGCTTGGAATCTACACTACATAAATATATATGGGGAGGTTCTACCTCCAAATCGGTTTTACAGTGAAAACTGCAGAAACTTCCAACGGGCTCTAGGAAGCAGACTGGGAACCCAGAGTAAGTGTTTGAACTGCAACCCATACCATTTGTGCTTGATTAAAGGACCTCTCTCTACATGCTCAGTTCTGAGGGATATCTTTGTGTGAAAGCCTAACTTCAGCTAGGTTCCTGGGAATACAAATTTTCTTTTCAGTTGGAAAATTCACTATGTAAATATATATGGGGGATTTCTAGCTCCAACTGGCTTTTGGGTGAAAATTGCAGGAAATTTAAACCCGAAGTAGGAAACAGATGGGGAAAACAAAGTACGTGTGTCTACTGCAACTACTTCAATTTGTGCTCGGTGAATGACCATCTCTCCACATGCTCAACTCTGAGACATAAGTGTGTTTGAAAGCCGAAGTTCACCTAGCTTGCTGGCAAATCAATGTTTCTTTTCAGTTTGAAACTATACTGCATACATATATACTGGTAGGTAGAAGCCCCAACTTGGCTTTACAGTGAAAACTCTTGGAACTTCAAACCGGCTCTAGGAAAAAAAAATGGGAAACAGAGTAATTGTGCTTACTGCAAATTATACCAATTGTGCATGATTAAAGATCCTCTCTACTCATGCTCAATTCTAAGAGAAAATTGTGTGTGAAAGATGTCCTTCACCTGGCATGTGGTAACACAAATTTTCTATTCATTAGGAAAGTACAATACGTACATATATATGGGGAGATACTTGCACCAATTCAGTTTCACAGTTAAAACTGCATGAATTTGAAACCGACCCTGTGAAAGACACTGAGAAATAAGACAACATATATCACTTTCAACACACTCCCTTGGTGCTAATGAAAGAAAGTCTATCCAAATGCTAATATCTGAGAGATAATTGTGTGTGAATGCATTCCTTCATCTAGCTTGCTGGCAAAACAAAGTTTCTTTCAGTTGGAAAGCACAGTACGTACATATATATGGGGAAGAACAAGTAAAAAATTCGGGTTTATGGTGAAAATTGCAGGAACTTCAAATGGGCTCTAGGAAGAAGTCTGGGAACCCAGAGTAAGTGTGTCTACTGCATCAAGTTCCAATTGTGCTAGATAAAAGATCGCCTCTCCACATGCTTAAATCTGAGAGATAAGTGTGTGTGAAAGCCGTCCTTCACCTAGCTTGTAAAGATCACAGTTTTTTTTCGTAGGAAAGAACCATACCTATATAAATACGGGTAGATTCAAGCTCCAAATTGGTTTTACAATGAAAACTGCTGGAAATTGAAACTGGCAGTAGGAAACAAACTGGGAAGTCAGAGTAAATGTTTCTCCTGACAACCGTTCCCTTTATGCCAAAAGAATGAACATCTGTCCACATGCTCATTTCTGAGACGTAACTCTTTGTGAAATCCGTCCTTCACCTTGCATGTTAGGATCTAAAAGTTCCTTTTCATTTGGAAACAGCAATCCTTTCATTTATATCGGGAGGTACTACCTCCAAATCGCTTTTACAGTGAAAACTACAGGATTTCAAAACAGAACTATTAAACAGACTAGGAACACATTAATTGTTCCTCTGGCAAACAGTTCCATTTTTGCTCGATGTACGAACATATCTCCACATGTTAATTTCTGAGAGATTAGTTTGTGTGAAAGCCGTCCTACACGCTGCTTGTTGGCAAAACAAAGTTTCTTTTCATTTGGAAACTACAGTACATACATAAATATGGGGAGGTACTAGTACCAACTCAGGCTTCCATTCAAATTTGCAGGAACTTCAAACGGGCTCTAGGAATCATACTGTGAAAACAGAGTCAGTGTGTCTACTGCAACACGTTCCATTTGTGCTACATGAAATATCGTCTCTCCACATGCTAAACTCTGAGAGATAAGCATGTTTCAAAGCCGAACTTCACCTGGGTTGCTGGGAACACAAAGCTTCTTTTCATTTGGAAATTACACT